CTCTTATACACATCTAGATGTGTATAAGAGACAGATCCTCGGGGATGCAGTCGGCAAAAAAAAAATGAAAACACTCCGAAGGAAATTCCTTGGGCTCCGAGGATTCCCCAGCCATTTGGGCAAAAGGAATCCGCATTTCACCGAGAGACGTTACAACCGAGAATCTGGATCGAGGTGGCAACCTATTGGCTGAAGGCCTCCAAAACATTTGATTTTTTCTTTTCTTTTCTTTTTTCTTGTCTGACATCGTTCGAAGGAAATGTCCCCGGGCGACGTCCCCGAGGACAGGTGGAACGATGGCGGGAATTTCCTTGAAACCCCCCAAGGAAACTTCCTTCGCCCCCGAGGACGCCCCAAGGAGTGTCGAACGAGCCCCTTAGAAGACATGTTCGAGAGATCTTGTGCTGGTCTTTGGACCTGGTTTTGAAAAAAAAAAGGAAAAAAAAAAAGAGAAGGTCTTAGTCTTTGGGGGGGAGCTGCCAATATGCCAGACAAAATCTTATCGAATTTTTCAGATGACCCACAGGAATCTGTGGGTGGTAGGTGGCGATAAAATGTTGGGGATAATTGCATATGTACCCCACTTAAGGATGAGAATACCAGCTATATACCTAGTCCCATCGCGAATTTGCATCTATACCCCGAGGGCGTTCAACTTTGCATAGTATCCAATTTTTCCCCTGTGCGAAATTGCAGGTGTACCCAGTCCCGCAGGCCCTGGATTTAGAGCACAAAATTATGCTCATGCCCACCAAGTAGACCGTTGTGGCCCAACGGCTGCTGGGTATATGAACAATTACGCCTCTCCTCCTCAGGTCCCAGGTGTGCCCATAATGATCCCTGGGTATGTCCATAATTTGTGCATTCCTGTAGTTGGTTATAACCACAATTAATGGCGGTACCAACTTGGATCCACCGTGGTCCTGGGCATGCAAACAATTTCCACCAGCCGTTTTCTGGGCATAGACGCAAGTTGGCACCGGGACTGGGTACAGCCGGCATTCCCATCTTCACGTGGGCCCGTGGGGTACAGATGCAATTTTCCCAAAATGTTATGTCCTTGCCCTGCGTTTGTTGCTCACTCGTATCTTTTAAAGGGGTCGTGAGGTGTCGGGGATTATTATTATTATTATTTTTTTTTAAGAAAGAGAACCTTGTGATTCCAGCTCCTTTTCCATTCTGGGGAGCATCAGGTGTCGGAGAGATGATATAATTCATATCACCAAAAAAATTGAGGTGTTCTCGATCGGCGTGCTTTTTGACAAAGGCTTCAAGGCAGGGACGGCTTTCCTTCCGGAGCACCTTCTTCAGGACTGGGTCGTTTGGCCCAGAGGAAGGGAGCCCCATCCTGTGCGGACTACACAAGGTGAGAGGTGTAGATCCTAGAGAGGATAGGGGTAGATACGAGGGTTCGCTCTGCTATGGAGCTGGGACTAATTTTTGGGGCGTGGATTAGCCCTGGCAGGGGCAGATAGAGACAAGGGGAGCTGCTTTCAGCAGGGAGTGGTGTTATGTGGGCTGTCTCATTTTGAGAGGGTGGGCTGGAGGGATATGTCCTTGAGCGGCTTGTCCTGAACTGGGGCCGATGAGGAGACGGCGGCTCCTAGCAGCGGGGGCAGTCTACCTTCTTCCCCCAAGTACAACGCACGGTCATTATACCTGTATTTAGGCTGAAAGATGCCCCAAATACAGCTATAATGACGGTGCGTTTGTATTTGGGAGAAGAAGGTAGGGACAGCAGGCAAGTTTTTCCCTCTGAGGGAAAAGGGGTGACTTCAGTGGCTGTGCGGTAGGTAAGCTCCTTTATCTTACGGACTGTTCGTTCGTTGCCCGGGTGGGAGGGAGTCCTACCCTGCGGGGGTAGTGTCTTGGAGGGAAGTGCTGTGTCTGGGGGGTTAAGGAATAGGACAACAATGAGGGTTGCACTATTCTGGGGCCGGCGTCGATGCAGTGGCTTCTTTTTTTTTTTTTTTTTTTTTTTTTTTTTTTTTTTTTTTTGTTTGTTTGTTTGTTTGCAAATGATGCTAGTGTTAGTGGTGCTGATAAGAGCAGACTAGCACCTGGGGAGAGGCTCCATCTATTGGTGGGGAGCATCACCTGCTGGAAAACGGGTCCAGCGTCCCATATACAGATTGGATATAGAGTACATCAGAAGAAAAACAGTTACGAGGGGGGGTCCCTGCCAGCATTGATTACCCTGGGATCCAGGGTAGTCAATGCAGTGTTGATCCTTGCCGGAGGCAGATATCGGCAAGGGTTAGGAGGCAGATATTGGCAAGGGGTTAGTCTACTCCTACGGAGGAAGTGGTTGGTTTTCTCTCTCCTTCCTTTTCGCAGTGGGAGTATGGGGGAAGTTTTGGGTGGTTTGGCATTTTCTGTTCCAAAGAGCTCCTGATTTTCAGTTTTAAAAAAAAAGAATTATTCTTCGTCCCCCCCTTTCCCTTCTTATAAAAGTGTTGTTCTATGAACTTCTATCTATTAGATAATTAGAGTATATATATACATATGATAATATATCGTCAAATAGAATAATATATATATATATCGTCACAAATAGAACTGCCCGGTAAACCGTAGGCAGAGAGAGAGAAGAGGAAAACAAACAAGGGGCTGTGACAAACTGTTTCGTCGGAGTATATATATATATATATATTATATATATATATATCGTCACAAATATATACCTCCTGATGAGTCCGTGAAACTCCGACGACACAGTTTGTCACAGCCCCTCGTTTGTTGTCCTCTTCTCCCTCTTGTCCCTCTCTGCCTACGGTTTACCGGGCAGCTCCGTTTGACTATATACAGAAAAGGGGAAGGAAGGGTCAGAAAAAACACATCATTTTTTTCTGACCCCTCCTGAAATTCAAGACATCGCTATCTGCTATCATATGTCGTGGTTCATCTCTCTCCTTGGAATTTTAGAGAGTCCAAACTCCAGGCCCTTCTCACACGCGTACTTCTATGTCATCGCTTCGGACAGAACTCCCTGACAATAAATTGCCAGCCCTACATCATAAACCCCTTTGAACATTACCCGGGTGCTCCTCCACAACATCTAAGAGGGTGACATCTGACAAGCCCAATTTCAAAACCCGTCTTGGGGTGATCTCCAGAGTCTGTCCCCAATCAGGCTGCTTATTATTGCCCCAAACGATACGAACCCCCCTCAACGCCATCGTCGCAACATAATCGGCGAAGAGACCAACAGTCTTATGTCGTACTAGCCCACGATAGTCGCCCGGGCGATAGTCTTGCCAACCTCCTGGGAAATCCGTCCACCGGTCAATTGCAATGCTTACGTTGCAAAACGTCAAGGAATCGATCCACGATCCTTGCGATCCCGAAATGAAAATACCATTCTCGGAATGTGCCGTCACGTTGATGAACCGTACATCTCTGATTCTCCCCACCTTCGTCGTCCTTTTGTTTCTTGGAACCGACGTGATATATATGGGCTCGGCCCTACCCCACCATGAGGGGTGATAGTACTGCGTAGACATACGGATGTTCTTGAACTCCACATCGACAACATCCCCTTCGTCACGCAGCTGAATTGCAAGTCCTCTGTGCGAATCCACAACCGTCAAGTCGTGAAACCGAAGACCGTGAAAGTTGTGCTCGCTCCCGCTGCCCAGCTTCACTGCCGACGATTTCGACCGTAGCCAGCAGTTGTGCGCGGTCAGATTGAACACCGGACCCCGTGTCGATTTCGGGCATATCGCATCGTCACCGGTGTCGATTCGACAAAACTCTATCAAAGTGTTGTTGCTTCCGTCAACGTCAATTCCATCATTATTTGGAATGTTGAAGTCGCCGAAGATCGACACGTTGACGATTCTCGCTCCGTTACATCGCACCAAATGGACGCACCAATACGCAGGTTCATGAAGCTGCACGTCACGGATGAGTACATCAACGCTGTCCAAAAACCCTATCAGTCGGGGACGGCATTCAGGTCCCGTACATTGCCCCGTCTCGTTCCAGCTGACCATAACGTGCTTTTCGGGCCGTTCACGTATCACAAACCTGTGCGCTTGACCATCAATCGTGCCGCGGCCTGTAATCCTGACGCCTGTTGTGTTCTCCGCAAGGACAACATACCAGCGATCCCTCGATCTAGGAAAGTCGTCAAGGCGATGGCCACCAAGGATAGTGGCACCTTGTTCCACATGAAGAGTGACATGAGAACGAAGATGCAAGGTCGCGGTGAGAAAGGTCTTTGGCGATGGAACGAGCACAGTGCCGCCGTATGTCGCACAGTCATCAATCGCCCGCTGTATTGCCTCCGTGTCATACAACAGGCCATCCCCAACCGCACCATACTTGCGAATATCACACACCCGCTGGACCCGTTGCTGTTCGCCCTTCACCAACAGATGTTGTCGTACGACGAGCTGCCCCTCCTTCCCTTCCTCCTCCTCTTCATCGTCAAGCTGCTCGCTTTCCAACACATCGCCTTCATCGATACCCTCGCTGTCATTCCCCTTCTCCTTACACTTTTTACAATCCTCTTGTGATTGCTGAGATATTGTTGATGTCATCTCTATTCCGTCTGCCGCTTTTGCCTCTAGGAATAGGAATGGCATCATTTGTGCTCGCTCTCGTAGGCTCCCTGACTGTTGAAATCCGCACAGCTGCCAGCTGCCATGTAAGGCACTTTCAAGCATCAAGGATGACACTTTCAAGCTACCAGCTGCCATGTAAGGCAAGAATCCGCACAGGACCACACAAGAGAGAAACAGCACCATAGTACAGGCAAACACCACCTGGTTCGATGATGCAGGTGGTGGCCATGATGCAGCCATGCACCCTCTCATCGTGGGAGGAGAAGGCATTCTCTCATCCTGATGCCTGATCTTCTCCCCTGATAAGGCAGGCATGGCTGGTCCCTGCTGGTGCTTCCACGCATTCGTGTAGGTGTGAACCGTGGTTCCTTGTCCCGCAGGATAGGAGTGGTGGCAACTCTCCAAGAGTGGCTCAAGTGGTCCCCACAGCGCCTATTGGAGACGGCTGAGACTTTTCCGCCAGGCACAGCAGAAGCAGAGTACACGAGCAGGTACCTGCGCAAGGTATATCATGCAGCTTTTTCTTAAAGTCCTCCCTGCAGCCTGCTCAAAAAAGAAAAAAAGAAAAAAGAGTACTCCCACTCTCACCCATCCCCTCCCCTCTAAGGTCCTTTTTTTTTTTTCTTTTTTTTTTTCAATTGTTAATTTGTTACAGGATTTTCCTTGTACATCTGCATTGATTCTGCAGTCGTGCCTTCGATGATAGGCTTTTGTGCAGATTTATTATTTCATTTCCATTTAGGATTAATTTGGATTTGTGTTTTTCTTCAATTTCTCGCAAGAAACATACATGGGGGCCTGTCTTGTTGCTATATGCACTCATTAAGGGGTAAGCTAGATCCCTCGAATAAGCTTTGCTTACCCTCTCAGGAGCCCCATGAATAAACTTTAAGTAGCCCCTCAGGATGACAACAAAAAAACAGACAATCGAACACGCCCTTCTAAACCGTTCGCAATAACACACACACGCACACACACACACACAATG